CCATATTTCTTGAGTGGAGAGATTAATGCAAATGTTAAGTCAACGTTAACAAAAATCACTGCACACCCACTGCTGGGGTGGCAAAAACATTCAGGCACAGCACCAGGTCCTGTCAGCTCAAGTTCAACCTCTCAGAGCAGCCATTGCTCTACTCTTGGTTTCCTCCCAGTCTTAAGGCAGTCCTTTGGTTCACTCCATTTCCTGCAGTCCTGTTGACAGGCATGGCAAAAGCCTTCAGTCACCTCTTGCCTTACCATGGAGGTCCATTGGTCCCACGTACTTGTCCTCACCAGCAGCTGAATGTGTTTTTCTAGAGGGAACTGCAGGAATGGGAGAATAATTTCACCTTTGCACATTAACAATCCCCAGCAACCCTTGGTTCAGGGCTTCTGGATTCAGATAGGGGTTGTATAACACTTTAAAGTAATTTCTCCCCCATGAGCCGGTCCTGTGACTGTAATTTTTGGCATACACACTTGTGTAACAAGCTTTCCTACAGGTTAGTAATGGCTACAACGCTCTGTTTGGGAAATGCCCAGTAATACCTGCCTATGATGGTGTACCAATATTACTTCAACACCCTTCTTCAGAAATTTGATCCTCTAAATCAGCAAAACCATCTCCAAATCTTTATATGCTCTAAATACATGTACCACTGTATAAATGTAACAGAAGGACATGCTATGCAGTAAGGGCTGGCGTTTTCTCAACAGTTGCATTTTCAACAATACAAATTTACTTTTATTATATATGTACTAGGCTGAAACATAGGTTTAAATGCTAATCTTTGGTGTATAAAACAAGGTCATGTTAAAGCTCTCCAAATCTAACCTGCCTATGATGCTTAATATTTCAGCCTCTGGAGAAGGAGAAGGTTTATTTTTCCCATACTCAGTTTAATTCCCTCCTCTTTAACCTGTTGTAGAGCATTTTATACTCTCAATAAAAACACAGTATCTCAGCTGCATACTATTAATTTAGCATTTTGTTTCAATTTTTGCTTTGCTCTGGATCCAACCCTACTTTGCTTTGCAATTGTTCTACAAATTTAAAAGAAAGTGACACTTTCAAGGTATTATTTCATCCGTAATTCTCTTTCTCACACATATATGTGAATATTCCAAATCATAATGGTGGGTATGAAGAGGCTTTGTTTTCCTTGTTTGTTTTTCAGACATACAAAAAGCCTTCTGTAGAAATTACAATTACAGCCTCTATTGTTCAGAGGCATGTGCTTAAAAGAAAACACAAGACAGGCACCAGTTTAATTGCTACTACAGATATTCCTGACGTAAACTGTGGAGTTCGGGCTCAGATTGAAATAAAAAATTTTATTTACTTTAACTTGTTACAAAGAAATTAAAAAAAAAAATAAGGCAAAGTAAAGTTCTGAGTGGATAACAGATGCAAAATCACAATGCTTTAACTGCCAACCAGCAGCACACCAAAAAGCCTTCCATCTCCATCCAACTAAAACAATGCATTTCTCACATATGGTGCTACTTATTTTTAACAACATAATTTCAGCAATACCCAAGTGACGAGAACAATCAAGCTTGATTTCTTTGTGCAATTATGAAGAACTGTAGTGTTCAATCAATCAAACTTGTTGATACTCCCAACTCCAACCTACTGGAAGGAGACATCATTGGATTAAACAATAATGGTTTGTCTCCTTGTTTTGGTAGAGGGAACAAATTTTATTTATTTTTTTTATTTAGGTTTGCTAAATTGGAGTATTTAAATGATTAGCTGGTGACTAATTATGAATCAAAAATACTTAATGAATGCTTACCTGCCACATAGAGGTGTTGTGAAGATTAATTAGGTAAGGTTTACAAAATGCTTTGAAGATTAAAAACGCCACTTAACAATAATTGGATAAAGTATGCAAGGGTACTAAAGAAACTTGGCAACAGCCTAAAATCTCCCTTTTGTGTTAGAGAAGTTCTTTGTGCAAGCTGTGTCACTGGATGCCTAAACTTGTGGAGTTTGCTCCTCTGTGAAGGCAGCTGTGTAATTCCTCTTCCTTTTGGAAATGCTGCTGAATTATGGTGTGAGACTCCCACAGCTTTACAACATCCTTAGAGCATCAGTAGCTGTAGGTATTGCAGATAAATGCTCTATCCTAAATGCCAATCATTTGCTACCTCTATATTTAATTTTCTGGTTACTTTGCCCTATGACAGCTACAAAATTTAATGCTAATTATACCACAGCTGGTACTCAGAAATTTTGGCTCTTTGAAACCTCTTCTCCTAGACTTTGTTTTTATAACTGTCTTCTAATTCACAGAGGTCTCATGCAGCAAATCCTTTCAGCTTGTGTGGGGCAACTTGCCTGACTCAGACAGACAGCATGCAGCTTGTAGAAGAAAATAAATTCATGTATGCCACAGAGCTGCCAGGAAAACAGAAATACCTGATCTATAACAAAATTCCTCCTTGGTCAGCCTGTAATACTGCATTATAGCTTGTTACAATAACTTTCTGTCTCACAGTCTGACTTTTCCTGGGTGCAAAATCCGTCAGAAGGGTTGGTTATTGCTTGTAATTTGTGCACATTACACAAGGAACTGTCTGGCTCATGCGATTTCAGTGCAGGATTTGCCAGGACAAATCCAGGGTGCCGGAGATGCCAGTGGGGGGTTATCAGGAAGCCTGCACACAGTGCTGGGGCTGACGTCAGTGATGTTAATCCATACTTTCTCGAGCACTGAAATGGCTCACAGACTTGTGGCGAGGATAAATACAGAGGGAGAAAATCACCCTCCCCTTATTTCAGCATTTTATTTTTTTTTTCCCTCTCTGCGTTAACAAGGGATACAGACCCACTTTTATGTTTGGAACGCTTTTTGTCTTTTTTCACAGCCAGAATGAACTCACATCTGTCTATTTATCTACATGGCCCACAGCACAGCAGATAGGTGGGTATCTCACTAATGAATTGTCTTCTCAGCACCGCTTCAAGGCAGGGAAGTGCTGTTACCATCTCAGCCACTTCCACCTTTGGTTGAGAGATAAGGAAGCGAGGTACACAGAGAGTAAGTGATTTATTTGCCCAAGGTCAGGCAGCAACCAGAGAAACTGAGGCACTGCCTGTGCCTGGCCAGAGGCAGCCCAACAGTCACACTCACAATGGATCAGCACTGACATGTTGGCTCCAGTGACATTGGTAAAGGCAGCATCAGATGGACACAATAGCTTATTTTCAGCAGGAAATGGTCTGTTACAGAAAATCCTAAGAGTATTTTTTCAGTTTGCTGAGACACAGGTGCAAATGTGTCTTGACACACAGATAGTTTCTGAGATCGAGTCACCTCAAAATGATGAAAATCACTATTCAGCAGCCAAATATCAGTAGATGGTGGCAACAGCCTTTTGCAGGGATGTTAGGAGCGCTGGGAACACTTGTCATGGCAAGTGTGATGCCAGCATCCTTCTCCTCCTCCTCCTCAGACAGTGAGTTCCAGTGCAGCCATGGGATCAGTGGGAGCAGAGGAGTGCCATGGGAGGGATGGGTGGGGTCTCCTGTGTCTCCTTTCCAGACGATTTCCCTCAGGGGTCTGTGAGCTTGCACACACCTATTGAGCTCCAGCACTCACTCCTCCCGGCTGTTCTGCTACCCACAACTCTTAACTTTCCTGTCTTGTGTGGTTCAAAACACCATCAGGGTGCACTGGCTAATACCTGCATTTTAGTGTAATTTCAAAAATAATGTTCCAATCCAGCAATCTTTACTCATACACGCAGAGACACTGCAGTTTTCAGTTTCCTTGTGTCAGAGGAAATTCCAGGTGTAAATATCTCATCAAGAAGAGCATGAAGCAGAGACCACTGAGCTCTAGTTCCCATCCTTCTGTCTGCTCCCATACATCTCCACTGGATATCGTTTTTTTTCATTCTCCTGGGTCCTTTCAGTACAAGTGTATGCTCATGAATGTGCTTTGGAAACATGCTACTTCACCAGATCTCACACTCTAGGTCAAAAGTTCATCAGTATGCAACAAATTCCTGTCATCTGTATATTTCCCAGCTCAGAGAACACCTGTGTCCCTTAAAGCTGTAAATAAATAAATAGAACAAACCTCTTAAAAAGTTACACACAAAGTGACTTTTAAAGAAAGAAAGGGAAGGGATTGCCCTAAAATTCCACCTAAAAGCATTTTCATGTCGATCCCCTCTTCTCCTTTGTTAGCACAATGACAGCACACTGCTCCTCCCCAGGGACCAGCTGCATTGTGTGAGCTCTGGTGCCTTCTGCAAGAGCACCAGAACACCAAACAGGAGGGCAGGGTCGGCCCCTCTGCTTGACTTCTGCCACATCTCAGGGGGAAAAAACTTTGGGCAATTTCAGTGGAGTCTTTGGTTTTAGAAGCCTGAAAATAATTAGATCCAAATGGAAATCAGACCATGTCATGCCATAAGCTTGATTTTTTTCAAATACCCTTCCTTTTGTGGGTGTGCACCCCCAGTCCCCTGACACTGCTTTCTGGCTCATGTGACTCCCAGATACAATTCAAACTGCAGGTGCATGACTCAATAAATTTATTCTTTAACTTTCAGTGCTTCCTCTGCTGTCACAAACAAGTTTTGATCTTAAAAGTGAAGCAGAAAACCTGGACCAACAGGAAAAAACAGTGGGGTTGTTTTGTTTTGTTTTTTTTTTCAGTGAGATTTATAGCCAAACATTCACACTGGGAGGAAGTTGTTCCCCAGTTCAGACTGGTAGAGATGGTTCACTATCTCTGGTTGAAGAAATGCAAACGAATGCAGCAGTCACACTGCTGAATAGGACTGATGTCTGAGACTTAAATTATTGTCAGTATTTGGTAATAATTTTTGAACTTTAGCTCAAATACCTCTGTGCTTTGCATATTGGCAAATGCTAGGTAATGATGCAGAATAACGAGTCACCATTGTAATTGGCTTTGTATATTTAATAAGGCTCTGATTATACCTAATCTCCTCACTGAGGTACTTAAATTAAAGACAGCCTTGGAGAATCATGTTCCTTTATTCAGTGAGAAGCGCAGGTACAGAGGGCAGCTCAGATTTGAGATGCCTGAACATCTCTCTGTAAGCTGGGAGAGGGAAATCAGTCTTAAACCACTTAGGACCAACTCCTTCTGCTTTGAGACTTCCTGTGTTCAGGGTATTCAGGGAATTTGGTAATAGATAAAAGCCTGAAAGTAAAAACAATAAAGATAAATTATTGTCGTGCATATGCTGCACATGTGTTTTGTACATCCTGCATATTTGTCTCTCCTTGAGAATGAGTTAGAGGTTTAGGCCCCAAAGATGTGTCTAGTACCTGCTGGAAGGGTAGGGTAGGAGCTGCCAGGACCATGGCAGCTGAAACTGTAGCTGTTTTGTAGGCAGGTGATGAGATGTGATGCTCTGAGCATCACCTGCTGCTTCAGGTAACACCTTCTTGTCCCTCATGCTCTGTCAGCCTTTGCTTTCCTCTGCCACAGGTGAAGCATGGATGTGTCCAGCCAGCTGATGTGACCCAAAGGTTCTCCCCGGGGAAGGGATCTGACCTGTTTATATGCTTTCATCTTTTTCATACAAACCAACCAAAACCAGAGGAAAATACTTTGAAATCCAGTTATTGTGTTTGAGAGTTTTATCTGTATAAAGTCACCTCTCTAAACTGAGCAAGACATTTTCATTCCCACCTACACATTCTTTTCTCTGACCCTCCAGGTTCACCACACTCAAATTCTTGGGCTTTAGTGATTCTCCATGGAGTCTTACGGCACTTGCTCCAAATGGTTTCTTTTGTGTGCATCCTCAGATGAATAAATGTGGAACACAAGCTCCGGTGTGGCTGTCACTGAAGTCTGAATCACTGCCAGTTCCTGGAGAGAGCAAGAGGCTCACGGCCTGTGCCACCTGGCAGGTCCTCTTTGGGGGCACCAGGGACTGCTGCTTGTTTCGGATACCTGTCGCCGTCAGGAACTGCGGGGAATTCTTTGTGTACCTCCTGCAGCCCACTCAAGGATGCATGGGCTACTGTGCAGAAGGTGAGGGCTGGTGAGGTATTTATCAATAAGATTACTTATGCCTCTCAGGCTGGGTGTTCAAAGGTCCTGGTGCTGCAGTGCATGTCTCGGTGACCTTGTGAGTCAAGCGTCACTCCCGGTAAGATGCAGACCGTGTAGGAAATAAATCAGTGGCAGTCCAAGGTGTTCCTGAAGAATAGCTCTTATTACCAGTACAAAATGTAATCTGGTGTGTATTACTGAAGTGCTCTTTGCTTGGTTACAGCTCACATGTAACCTTTCCTGCTGTCTTTGGCTCTACTTTGGCTCAAAGTTGCAAAGCTAGAGAGTGGGAGCATCTCAGCTATAGTGAAGCACTGTATCCAGGATACTGTCTCTAAGGTCTGTTCTTATCTTTAATAATCTAGTACCACCCCCCTCAAAAAAAAAAAAAAAAGATAACAAATAATTCTGAAACTCTGTAAGTAAAAAAAAAACAAAAACAAAAACAAAAAAAAAAACAAAAACAAAAACAAAACCAAAAAAAAACCAACAAAAAAACCAAACAAACAACAACAAAAAAAAAACAAAACCCCACAAACTGATAACATCTTTTTCATGACATTTATATAATTGTTTTCATCAGAAATAATTTTCAGCCTACTACAAGAGATGCATCCCCTGTTCGGTAGCTAGGAAACAAAGGAAAAGCAGAAAGGAATTGCTCATTCAGTTAAACCTTCTGAACTTTAGAGCATGTTCAGGTGCATATAGATTTCATCAGAAAAGACACTTCTTTCTAAAAATGAAATAAATTACCTTTATACTTTCCTTTCAGTGTTTTGGACAGAGATATGACACATTGAGAAAGTAGAGTTATCAGCTTTCAATCAGGCAAAATCCAAGCTTAAATAAATTTTAAAGAGAAAGATAACTATTTTCTTATCTTTATCAATATTTTAACATTCCCACATGAAGAAGAGGAAGGAAGAAAGGCTCAAAGAATATGAGATTAATTCACTATTTGAAATAAAAAAAATCCATTAAAATAAATGAAACTGATTCTTTCTCAGAAATTACTTTTTAACTGAATAGAGTAATTTTTCAGTTTAAGCTTGGCTTTTTTATAAACTATAAGATTTCCACAACCCTTGCTCAAAGAACTTTTTTGCCAGTACCTTTTGGGTGGTTAATTTTGTCCTTTCTGTTGATTCATACCTGTTTAGTGAGGTAAATCTGCCTGTGTTTTTCATAAAAGAAAATTTATCCCTTCCTCTCTATCCCAAACCAGCGAATTGCTGCCTTTTCCTTACCACTGCTGTTGAAACTTTCACCTTTTTCCTCAACATTTCAGTGAGGGCCAGTCCTCCCGAGCCTTTTCTTGTAATTAGGATGTTCTTGCAGTATTATGCATTGCATGGAAAGCACCCAAAATTTTTTACTGGGGGGGGGGGGGTTACCTCAGTGTCTTAAATTCAGCTGTAAACTTTGCACCACAGGAGCCTCACGCAGGCCCAGAGCTGGGTCCAGCTGGCATCACCACGGCTCCTTGCAGGGGTCAATTCCCCAGCCCCTTCTGCTGGAGGCTCGGGAGCAGGACACTGGTCAGCGCTCCTGACCTGCAAAACAAAATGAATTTAAAGCTTCACAACTCATCAGAAAGGACACAGCTGGGAAAAGCAGCGTTTGTGCTTGCAATTCTGCTCACATCCTCCCATGAGCTGATCACCTAACTCTGTCCTTCTGGGAGAATTTCCTGCAGAAAGTCATGGTGTGAGCCCCAGCTTGAGGCAGCTTTTCTTAGAAACAAAATAGAAAAGGGTATAAACAACAGGTCTTTACTCATATTTAAAGTAACTTCTTTCTTTTTCTTTCCTCTTGCTATCTGCCCTGGACAGATGTTAACACACTGGCTCTCCGTTCTGTTCATAACTTATTCGCTTGGGCTCCCATAATATTTTCTCCTCCAAAAAAGTTACTTTATTTATCCTTTCAAGGCATCTGAACCAGCTTCATGTTCTGTTTGAGTCCTTGTCTCCAGAGATGAAAGAACATCCCCCTATGCTATTATACATCTTTTTGTTTCTACTTTCTAGGTGAGTTTAACAGGAAGAAAGGTTTCAGACTTCATTACCTGTTGAAGCCTGCAGAAAGCAGGCTGTATTTTTAGAGCAATGACATTATTCTGGGCAGAGGGAGACTAAACTGAGCAGACCTGGCCTAGATACATCCCAAAACAGCCTGGAAGGATCTTCACAGCATGGCAATATGGGCTGGATGCTCTCTGAGAGTCAGTTTACCTCTGCAACATAACGATTTCTCATATCTCTTCTGTGCTTATTGCAAAACTTGGATCAAAAGGCTGTGCTTCAGGGAAATGCAAAGCTGATGGCCTTTGCCAGACTAATTAATTTGTATTAATCTGAGTGCTTCATTTCCATAAAATTTCTCTTACAGCAAAAAAAAAAAAAAAAAAAAAAAAAAAAAAAAAAAACAAACCACAAAAAACCCCCAACACACACGCATTAAAAAAAAGCAGGTCAAATACTACAGCAACAGTGGGTAGCCCGTACACAATTAGCAATTTTTGCATTTCACATGAAACACATTTTCTAGCTTGCATAGTTCATAAATCACAGGAATATAAAATGTAACATTTCTCCCACCTTTAGTTATACTGACACCTTCTCGTGAGGTGAACAATTGTAACGTTAAAATAACATTTTGTGTTACATCCTTCATTTGTTTCCCTCTTCCAGACAGACTCACAAGCCTGTCTTTGCAACCAGTGATAACTCCCGAGCTCGTGCAAGGTCGTGTCCACCTGAAGTGCACCTACAGCCACCCTCCCTCCAAGCCACCCCTGCAGTACGTGGTGCTCTGGTCACGCCTCTCCAGCCCTGGCAAGAGAGAGCAGATCCACCAGGAGACCACCCTGGAGTCATTTTCCTCCGTAGAGATGGACGGCACAAATCTCAGACTGGGAGACACGGTAACGCCACCCTGCCTTCAGCAAAAAGTGGTCAAACACTTGGGGGGATCAGATCCCTTTCTTAAATCTTTCCTGTGTTTTTATTAGTGCTGCTCCTCACTCCTCATACTTGTAATTGCTGCACTAGAAAGTACTGAAAATGTTTCATAACAGGATTATTAAATAACATTAACCAGATTCAGGACCTGTAACGTTTCTTTGAATTGTAGTAAATTCATGGAAGGTATTTTACCACTTTCCAAAGGCAACTTCAATATTTGCACTTACAGTACAGCTTTAATGCTATGAAGTTTGTATAAGTGATAGCTACATGTGCCTGAGCCAATTTTTGTTTGTTACTTTTCATATCTTGCAAGAGTGAGAATTTGCAGTAGAGGCAGGCTCAGCTATATGCACTCAGTAATTTTTATATCCATGGATCAGAGACACAATCACATCTTTTCACAGAAAAAAGGATAGCACATTTTAAAATAGAGGGAGGTTTACTTTATGGTCTTTTTCATGGTGTTCTGCCTCTCTGATTCCAAATTCTTGGTTCAATAGCACGCTGAAAGATAGAGTTCATTACAAAACAATCTTTAAGAAGTATATTTGATGGCTTACACAGCAACACAGATCTAGTTTCAACAACAACAAAACAGAAACCAATACAAGATGTGAAAAAAATTGACTTGTGTATGAATTCATGGCCTTTCATGCTACAGAAACAAGACTTTTAAAGTTAAATTAGGTTCATAACTTTTATAGGCAGAGGGCCATTAGTGATGCTACAACAAACTAAAGAAATAAACAGGGATAATGGTCTTGTGTTAAAAGTAGGTTGGAAATAGTCTTGGCATTTTGCAGCTCTTCTTTGAGATCATGGAATCATAGGATACCAGGCTGGAAGAGACCTCAAGCTTTATCTGGTCCAAACTTTCTTGGTCAAAGGACAAGGCAGCCCAGCACCCTGTCCTGCTGAACCTGAAGCATTTCCAATGTTGAGAAATCCACCACTTCCCTGGGGAGATAATTCCAATGGCTGATTGTTCACTTTGTGAAAAAAATTTTTTTTGTGTCTAACCAGAATTTCCCCTCATGTTTTCCATGTTACTTCTAGCAAAAAGGGACTCTCCATATTCTTTGTAGCCACTCTTTAAAAACTGGAACATGGTGATGAAGTCTCCCTAAGCCTTCTTGTATCAAGGCTGAACAAATCCAGTTCTCTCAGGCCTTCCCTCATGTGGCAGCTTCCCAGGCCTTGAGTAATCTCTGTGGCCCTTCTCTGGACCCTCTCCAGCCTGCCCACATCTTACTTGTGTAGTGGTGATTAAAACTGAACACAGTATTCCAGATGTGGCCTGAGAAGTGCTGGGTAGAGTGGAATGATGACTTCTTTACCTCTGCAGGTGATGCCTTTGTTGATGCAGCCCAGCATCCTGTTGGCTTTCTTTGCTACAGCAGCAACATTGTTCACTCACATTAAGTTTCTTGTCCACCAGGACCCCGAGGTACCTGTCCACAGAGCTGGTCCCCATCTGGGTAGATCCCAGCCTGTGCCACTCTCCTGGATTATGTTCTCCCGGGTGGAAAACCTTGTACTTCTCCTTGCTGAACTTCATGAGGGTCTTATTAGCCCTCTCTTCTAGCCTACCCAGCTCTTCCTGCAGGTTGCTCTCCTTTCCAAAATGTCAATTTCCCCACTCACTTTGGTATCCTTGGCAAACTCTGTCAGAGTATTCTTGATCCCACCTTCCAGACCACTTATGAATACATTAAACAGCACTGGGCCCAGTATCTCACTGCTCTGGTTGTCTGCTCTGGCTTGTTCCCCAGTTGGTTTCAAGGGTGGGAGTGTTGCCACTTCAGACCCCATCCCTGAGTCCTTCAGTTTAATGTCCACCTCACCAAGTTGTCCAGACTGGTGCCAAAGATTCCCTTGCCTCTTTTAGACAGGTGGATCCCATCCTTCCCTAGACAGATGTTGAAGAAATTATTCTAAACTTTTTTCCAGTTCTTGAAAGGATAAGTCATTTATAACAGCACCACAATCTAGATAGGATTGTTTTTGTCATTTCTTCTCATAATTATGCCTCCTGAGTTCAGAATCTGACTGATGATGCCCTCACATATTATGAGACAGATAATTCTGCCAGTTTAAGACAAGTTTGTGTTATGAAGAGATATTTTCATCAAAATAATTTCACTTGCAATCACTTCAAATCTAGTTTTAACAATCCTGAGGGATTCAGAGAAAATATGGTTCTGTTAACTAGTAGCATTGCCAAATCTTTATAAGACCATTTTTATTATATTAAGTTTTCAGTAAGCCCTTCTTTGTCCTCTGCTGAAACTACGTGTTTAATTTAGTGGGTTTAGTGAGACTAAAATGTTCTCTTCCTTGTTAGATTTCTTTAAAGGTCTTCATGGCCTATTTGACTAATTATAATAATTCATAAATCATGGGTAAAAACCAATCGATGAAGCTTCAGTTGTAACCGAGAATTTGCTTTTACAGAATAAAGATTAAAAAAAACATTTCACCCTGTTTTCCATCCTAGTCTGGATGTCTAATAGGAGTCACAAAGGAGAAGACTCTCCCCCCTCCAGTGGTGTAAATCTGAAGAAATTTAGCATTGCTAGGGCTACCCCAGAGGAAAGGTGATGGCACTAAAAGGAGAATCAAACCCTGAGTACCAAACTCCACTGCACAGAGGCAGCTGGCAGCTTCCACCTGGCCATGAAAGATGCAGGTGGAAGACTATTCTCTCAGGCAGCATGAAAGGGAAGCCAGATCCCCCTGATAGAAGCCATGTGAGAGAGGAGACAATGAACTGGGGGCACTTTCCAGTTCTGTTTCCCCTTCTCCATGCACAGCCCAGTGATATCATCCCCATGGCTGTGCACTGCCAGGGTGCACTGGTGGCAAGCAGTGCAGAATTTGTTCGCCAGGACACAGAATTTGCCCCCAAGGATGCAGAATTTGTAGTGTTTGAAAACTGCTGCCTTTTTTTAACCTTTTTAGCTCTTCACCTCTACCTTCACGATAATCTGCATTTGGTCCCAACACATTCATGGCCTGAAATTGTTATCTTTGTTCATTTCTTGATAAAAAAACTACAGCGAAGCAAAAAGATTTTCTTTTTAATCACCTAAAAGGTGATTGATATCTATGCTATTTTTTATCTGTAAAAAATTCTGCAGGTAATAGGTCAGTCCCATAATAGAATAGCTATTGATATATTTTAATACACAGTCAAACCTTAGAAAAGAGCTGAGATTTACCGGCCGACATTCCTGAACTTGTATTGACTAAACAGCCAGTTATTTTTTAATAGCCATCATGTGTCCTTTTTTTCCTCCCATCTTTGGGCTCCAATTTTGTTATTTCAGACAGTAATGTTGGCAGCATAATGTTCACGAAACTATTGCAGCCTTAAATAAATCTATAACATGCCACTATTTCTATATAAACTGTGAAAGAAGCCTACTCCATCTGATATGAAAATCCTGGTACTCCTAAGCCTTATTTATGTGATAGTGACAGAGGTCATTTCATTCCTCGAGGCACAGCCATCTATAAATTATAGTGGTGCACTGTGAGTAATGAGTTATGGTAAGAAAGA